CGGGGGGGGGGGGGGGTATGGTTCAAGGTGTTCTGTTTTTAGTTCTTTTGTTTTTTATGCTTCTATCCAGTTTTAAGGAGTTGCTATTGCAAGTTAGGTGGCCAATCAATCAATCAATATATAAATGTAAGCTTTTGCTGACAGAAACGTTAAAAAATGAACGTCTTATTTTTGTCATTAGGGAATATAAATACATTTACTTATATTTTTTTCCCCAGCCTAGTACAATTCCCACCATTTCCCATCAGCCTGGGAAAGATTGATCTAGAGAGAGAGACAAAAAACAATTAACTGCCTTTTATACTCTTTTCATGCACATCTGTGCGCATCTAGCTGCTCAAAACAGGGATTTTTCTGCTTGTTCTGACAATACCTGCCCAACGATATGGAGAACTCTAACTTTAGAGTGAAAATTCTTCTTCCTCCTCACTCCCCAACAAGTTCACACAGATTATTTTTATTTCAGAATTGGATTGCTGAATTATGCATGCATCCTATTCCTACTCCAATGTCAGAAAAAGTTTTTCCATAACCAATCTTCTTTAGGGCTTGCATAAGTATTTACATATTGATAATATATCTGTCATGCTGGGTTTTTGTCTAATGCGTTTCAAAAGCATTTTTTTACTTGATGTCTCCTGGCACCTTATATGCTCACAAACTGCCATTTTGATTTTATTTACATTTCAGACACAAGATAATTGCAAAAAAAGATTGCAGTATTAGATTGTCAGAATGTAGTACAGTTGTACACTTTCTGTCTTTGTTCATACATTAAGCTAAACCATCGCTTTCTTGGTTATAATTTATTGATTAAACACTTGGTCATGTTCATACAAAATAATGGACTGTAAACCAGATTTATAAATCATAATGGCACTATATCATAACCCACATTCACATGATATATGAACCCCAGGGACAGTCTGATTTGAACTGAAACTTAAAAGTGATTGACTGGATTGTGCTCAGTACTTTAAAAGCTTAATGATAAACTTTGTAATACTAAGATAAACTTCTAATCAAGTCTTCCTTGTTTTAAAGGTGGTAGACGGAACTTTATGTAGTCCAGATTCCACTTCAGTCTGTGTCCAAGGACAATGTATAAAAGCAGGATGTGATCGCATCATAGGATCCAGTAAGAAGTTTGATAAATGTGGTATCTGTGGAGGCAATGGATCTACCTGCAAGAAAGTATCTGGAACGTTTTCTAATGCCAGGTGTGTTTTCAGACTTTGGGAGTTTGTCACCCTTCTCATTATCATGAAATACTTTTTTCATTTGAATTGTTTAACCAAATCAGTTTAAGAACTAATATTGTAGATCAACTACTTATAAATTTTATGTTAGTATATTCTTTTAGTTACAAGGTTATCAAGATAGATTATTTTCAGATTCAACCTAAGTTCTTGCATGTAATAGGAGTCCTTAATAATTAAGAAGTGCTGGTATTCAACTATAGCTCTTCTTCTTCCCTGTAGACCTGGTTACCATGATGTTGCTGTGATTCCTGCTGGGGCAACAAACATAGAAGTGAAGCAACGAAATAATAGGGGTACACGGCAAGATGGTAGCTTCCTTGCAATCAAAGCTGCTGATGGTATTTATATTCTCAATGGTGACTATACACTGTCAACAGTGGAGCAAGATATTACCTATAAAGGCAGTGTTTTGCGATATAGTGGTTCATCTGCCTCTCTGGAAAGAATTCGTAGCTTCAGTCCACTGAAGGAATCATTAACAATACAGGTCCTTACTGTGGGCAATTCATTTCGACCTAAAATCAAATATACCTATTTTATAAAGAAATCAATACAGTTGGGGTCTGAGGAGCCTTTCAGTAAGACTGAATCTTTCAATGCAATCAAGGAGACAATTTTATCGGAATGGATTATTGAAGAATGGGGAGAATGTTCTAAGTCATGTGGTACTGGCTGGCAGAGAAGATCTGTAGAATGCAGAGACCTTAGTGGACAACCTGCCTCAGACTGTGCGAAAGAACTCAAGCCAAGTGATGTACGACCATGTGCAGACACACCATGCCCACGATGGCAGCTGGGAGACTGGTCACCATGTTCTAAGACATGTGGGAAGGGTTTCAAAAAGAGATTATTAAAGTGCATTTCCTTTGATGGTACTATTTTGACATATGAAAGCTGTGACCTTTCAAAAAAGCCAAAACATTTAATAGACTTTTGTAATGATACACATTGCAGCTAAAGTATAACAGAAATCTAAAGATGTATGTATGTATATTGAGACCAAAGCACTGAAATTGAAGTGAGAGGTAGCAACTATAATTTGTATGTGGAAATTCACAGTAGATTCACTGAGATGGGACAGTGCAAATATTATTAGATGGTGTTAAATCACAGTGGAGTGGGAAGGAATCCTGTCAATGAACAGTAGATGAAAATGCCAGATTAGTTGCTAACAAACTCAGAAACACACATTTCCTCATATTAGTTTGTTACAAGTTAAACAGAACATAGGCAATGGCCAAAACAAACTTAAACACGTTTGCATTCTAGTGGGAATTGGCTTTTTTTTACTTCTGGAATTTATACTGTGGTACTGATAAAATTCCTTTCTTAAAGTGGGGAAGAAAAGCAAGTTCTTTAATTATTGGTCAGGTCTTGCCTACCTAACAAGCAACAAAACCACATTATTTATAGAGAGTTTTCAACTATATTGTTCACAGAGAGCAAAACAAGTAGTACTGGATGCTTGAAACTCCAAACATTAGAAAGTATTTAATTCTCTTAAGAGATATCTTGCAGTCAGTATGTTTATTCTGTAGAGTTACAGTGACAACACCTTCAAAGCCACATATCAGTTGGAATGGTTTAGATAGGGTTTTTGGGGGGGGGGGGCGGTTGGTATCTGTATGTATGCCACATTTGCTCCAAAAGATTGGCAAAATCAAACAGAGCTTTGGAGCACATGCATAGTTTCTATATGAAAGCTGGCTTCTTCATGAAGAAGTAAATTCTGACAAGCTGCCATTTCACATACAGTTACCATGGTGGTCAGCAGTAACATGCTTACATATGACCTTTTGCAAACATATAAAATTCCACTATAAATGGAACATCTCTTATTACAGCTTTCCATAACCTGATGAATTCCAGATGTGCTTAGCCAGCATAGCCAAATACTGTGCTGGTTGGGAATTACAAGAGTTAACAGTCACAAAATATCTGGAAGGCCCTAAGTTGTCTCATTGCATACAACAACTTTACACTGCTCAAATCATTTGTAAAGCAGGGAAGATTAAGCTGCGGGATAGCAGGTCCATCCACAGCAGTTTGCCAATATCTGCATATTTAAAACTATGTGCTAGGCTATTGACTATGAGAGAATATGTCTCTTCATATGTATATAGTAAAATATATTACTAAAATTTATACATACTTTATAAGTATTTAAATTCTTTCCCTTCTGAGAAGGATTATAATTGATAACAAATGCATATACTGTAATGAATGTATTTATTTTTATATTTCTTGTCTAAAAAGATCTCTTAAGTTATCTTTAAAAAAAAGACATATAACGATAGAGTATTTATGCAATATAGTATGTAACTAGAGGTAATAAACTATGAATTTTTGAAATTGTTTGAGACTTTTTATTTTATGTTTTTTTTTTTATCACGTGTTCATAAGAATAGCTAGTCTTAAATTTATCAAAGGGCATATGTTAAGATATAATCTTTGTGCTTGCCAGTGCCATGCAACAGAATCAGCAGGGAATGAATTAAGATCTAGATATTCTCTTGTCCCGGTGGAATGTACGTTGTATACCAGCTGGCCCATTAATTGGAACAAATGCTATCATAATCCACTTTTCATGCTTATCTGGATTTAATATATATTCAAATTTAAGGTAATTGATCTAGTCCTAGTCACATTTACATTCCTTTGAATTTCGTGTTAAATCTGACTTGTACAAGGCAACCGTTTGAAATTTAATTGCATGGTAAGCCATTTAGTTAAGCCATTTTAGAATGCAAGTTCATCTGTTTACCCCTACACTGAAGTCTGAAAGTCTTGCCATGGAATTATGAAAATTATTAGAACCGTATGGTGAAATAGTTCATTTGATTGATGCTGTAAAAAGCGTCTCTGCAGCTGGATTTTAATCTTTATTACACTGCTGTTGAAAAATAAATCTGAAATAGAAGAGAATATATGTATTTCAGGGGTGAACTGTGGGGGCCCCCGTTGTTGCTTCCCATTTTGTTTTTGGTTTGTCTAGTGGCTACTTTATACAAAAAAAAAGTTTACTCTACAAAAAAA